AATCAATGAACAAGGACAAAAGTACTTGAGGAAAAATTGAAAATTAATGGTACTTGTGAAGGAAGAAAACCAAACCCAAATATATAAATCCTGTCCTAAAAATGAACATGGATTCTTCGTTCATGGGTATGTAGTAGGTGGCTTAGAGAACATGAATTCAGGGACTTTTGGGGTTGTGTTACTAGTCAAGCCAGAGAGTTCATTCAGCTGAGCATTGTGCTGTATACTGACTTGTGTAAACTGACAGGTGAAATGTTAACGGAAGGGCAGTAAGTTGCCAAGTGAAGTCGCTCAGTTGTGTCTGACTCTTTGCGACCCCATGGACTGTAGCCTACCAGGCTCCTCCGTCCGTGGGATTCTCCAGGCAAGAATACTGGAGTGGGTTGCCATTTCCTTCTCCAGGAGATCTTCCCGACCCAGGGATCGAACCCGGGTCTCCCGCATTGGAGGCAGACGCTTCACCGTCTGAGCCACCAGGGGAGTTGCCAGTGACTGACTAATTAATTAAAACCGCTCTGTAACAAGTTTCATGTTCTAGTGTGTTTGTCTTTCTGCTGCTGCGGCTGCCAAGGCGCTTCAGTTGTGCCCGACTCTGTGCGACCCCGTAGACGGCAGCCCGCCAGGCTCCGCCGTCCCTGGGAGTCTCCAGGCAAGAAGTTCTGCTTAATTTCTGGTTCACACTAATTCCTCTCCCTATTTAAGTGGTCAACTTAATTTTTCAGGTATTACGCCTACAGTATGATTCATAATTAACTTTTTAAGTCATTATTATATACTAGGTCTTCTCTGTGATCTTACCTACTAGTGATTTTTCTGTATGTTGTGCATTTGTGATGTGACTTTAGTTAAAATGTGCTCTACAGTTACTATCTGCCGATGATGGATATCCCCTAGGAGCTCAGTTAAGCCTTCGTTTTCCAGCAATTATGTAATCGGTTGCATTTTCTAATTTCCATTTTGTTTATTGGTGGGAGTAGTCTGGAATGGGGTACACTTACACAAATGAAGGATACTGAGGGAGTGGGATACTTGTCATCCAAGGAGAAAAGGTAGTGCAGAGTCCTCAGTAGACAGACACAGAGTTCGAGAGTCAGGTAGTTCAGTGCCAACGCCAGGGTTGAAATGCTGATCCTAAAACTAGTCAAGTTCAAAGAGTTGGTAGGTTGAAAAACCAAGATCATTAAAGCAGTGAAGCACAGTGGTTTTCTTGGTAGTCAGAGGTGGTCAGGAGTAATTCAGAAAGTAGTATGTAATGAATTGTATTTAGGTTATTTAGTCCTACAAGCCTCAGGAGATTATAAGGACAGGTCCCAGATTTAGGTACCAGGTTCTATTGGGAAGTACATTATTGAAGTTATGTCTGTTTCTCTTGATCCAGCGAGATAGAATAACAATAATGTCGGTCAGTCAGTTCAGTCGCTCAGTCGTGTCCGACTCTTTGCGACCTCGTGAACCTCAGCACGGCAGGCCTCCCTGTCCATCACCAGCTCCCAGAGTCCATCCAAACTCATGTCCATCGAGTTGGTGATGCTATCCAACCGTCTCATCCTCTATCGTCCCCTTCTCCTGCCTTCAATCTTTCCCAGCATCAGGGTTTTTTCCAGTGAGTCAGCTCTTCACATCAGGTGGTCAAAGTATTGGAGTTTCAGCTTCAACATCAGTCCTTCCAATGAACACCCAGGACTGATTTCCTTTAGGATGGACTAGTTGGATCTCTGCATTCCAAGGGACTCTCGAGAGTCTTCTCCAACACCATAGTTGAAAAGCATCAATTTTTCAGTGCTCAGCTTTCTTCACAGTCCACTTTCACATCCATACATGACTACTGGAAAAACCATAGCCTAGACTAGACAGACCTTTGTTGACAAAGTGATGTCTCTGCTTTTTAATATGCTGTATAGGTTGGTCATAACTTTCCTTCCAGGGAGTAAGCGTCTTTTCATTTCATGGCTGCAGTCACTCTCTGCAGTGATTTTGGAACCCAGAAAAATGAAGTCAGCCACTGTTTCCACTGTTTCCCCGTCTATTTGCCATGAAGTGGTGGGACCGGATGCCATGATCTTAGTTTTCTGAATGTTGAGCTTTAAGCCAACTTTTTCACTCTCCTCTTTCACTTTCATCAAGAGGCCCTTTAGTTCTTCTTCACTTTCTGCCATAAAGGTGGTGTCATCTGCATATCTGAGGTTGTTGATGTTTCTCTCAGCAATCTTGATTCCAGCTTGTGCTTCCTCCAGCCCAGTGTTTCTCATGATGTACTCCGCATATAAGTTAAATAAGCAGGGTGACAACAGCCTTGACGTACTCCTTTTCCTATTTGGAACCAATCTGTTGTTCCATGTCCAGTTCTAACTGTTGCTTCCTGACCTGCATACAGGTTTCTCAAGAGGCAGGTCAGGTGGTCTGGTATTCCCATCTCTTTCAGAATTTTCCACAGTTTATTATGATCCACACAGTAAAAGGCTTTGGCATAGTAATGTAAATGTAGCCTTTTCAGCTGATTATTTTTTTAATGGTCAGCTATTTGATTAGACCTGGTTACTTGCTATGAATGAAATTCAAGCTTGTTTATTCCCTAAGTTGTGTCTGACTCTTCGCAGTATCCCGTCAGGCTCCTCTGTCCAAGGAATTTCTCAGGCAGGGATATTGGAGTTGGTTGCTATATCCTTCTCTATGACTGAAATTCAAGCTTACTTGAAAAGAAAGTAATTTTGCTTCTTAAGGGAGGAGATTCTTAATTAGAGTGTTAGCTATGTTTTATAAACCTTTTTTTATTGTTGCTGCAATTTAAAGTTTTGGTTCTTAGGTAAACACCTCCAGTAAATGGATATGTTTTCTGACTTATACTCAGCATGTGCATGTGTGAGAACATCTCCTTTGAATAGGCAGGTCAGTAACTGAAGAAATTCAGTTAGGAAGTATAGTCTCAGAAAAATGCCCACCGATGCCTTAAGTGATACTTCCTCGTAACTCTGGATTCCTGTCTAAGTTATTCTTTGTTCAGAGCATTGTCAGTTGTTACTCTGTGCTTAGGTGATGCATACTCAGATGTGTATATGACACGATGTCAGTTTTGCAGGTTTCTGGGCTTTGACCATGTGCTGGTAATTAGACCAAGACTTCCTGCATGATCTTTAAACATCATTTAGTTTCTTTTCTTTTGGCTGTGCTGGGTCTTCAGTGCTGTGTGGACTTTTCTCTAGTGGCGAGGAGGGGTTCTCTGCAGCTGCTGTGTGCAGGCTTCTCACTGCAATCTGACTTCTCTCTGCTGTGGAGCGGGGGCTCTGGGCGCAGGCTTCAGCTGAGATTCCTGGCCTCTGGAGCGCTGGCTCAGTAGCTGGCGTAGGGGCTCAGTTGCTCGTGGCACGTGGGATCCTCGGACCAAGGATCAAACCTTTGTCTCCCGCATCGGCAGGTGAATTCTTTACCACTGAGCCACCAGGGAAGCCCCTCCTAATGTTTACTGACTTAAATATTAGTCAGTGATGCAGAAGAATTTTCTAACTGTTAAGTAATTTTGAGTCAGTAGCTTTTGTAATGTTGTGCAATTCTCTATAAAATATGATTGTGTTTTAAACTCCAATGTATTGCGCTATTTCTCCCTTCCAGCCCTGGTCATTTATACTGTGGGGTAAAGTAATGGCTCTTCCACAAGCATTGGTTCTTTTCTATGGTGTTCCTAGCTTTGGGACCCAGCACTTGTATGAATTAGGGGTTTTTGTTACAAGTAAATAACTATGGGAATTTTATTTTCTCCTACAGTTGGTTTTTTTCCCCGCCTTTCTAAGCAAAGTCTTCAGGGAAAGACTGCCATCTTGTGGTTTTTAAAAATACAGAATTAAAAAAAAAATACAGAATTTAAGAAAAAAAAATTCTTGTTATGTGACTGCTGAGATTTTATATGTGTATGTAGTTGTTTTATAATACCAAAATGAGTAAAAAATGAGTACTATTTAATCTTCTTTTTACACTACCTTTGCTTATTCTTTGGATAGTTTTTGTCTTCATTTTATTATGATATTGATACAACAATATTTTAAGGATTTCTGTTAAGTAAAGAAAGTGGGCTCTGTTGAACCCGCTCTCAAACATCAGTAGTAGAAATACTTCTCTGTAATAGCGGTTTTTTTTTAAATAGCAGTTTTAATTAAGAACTTATATTGAGAGTTTTTATATTATTAAGGCTTTTCCAGTATGACCTATTAATGATGATAGAATTATTTGGATTAAAAAATACTGATCTTTAAAATATAATTATTTGACAAACTGTATCCTAAGGAGCCTTAATTTTATAATGTAGAATTCCATTTAATAAAAAGTGATATTTAGAAGTAAAATACACCTAAGTCTAGTTTCGTTTTTGTATAGTTATTAGTATAAACTGAAAAAGTTGTTTTCTTCAAAATACTAGGAAGGCCTTTATTTGTAGTTAAGGAAGTTTTAAAACCACCTCTTGTGTCAGAAATGGAAACTACTTGCAAGCTTGGGGTTAGTTCTTAGGTAATGTTGAAGAAGTGTCTATATATCAACAAGTCATAACATTACTTTTTGAAGCAACTTCATTTTCATTTATTTAATCTCAGCATTTATCTTGATTTATGTCTCCTGTTTATCTTGATTTTTAATATTCATTGTATTTAAAAATAACAAGTTTTCACTTCTTCAGAAATGTCTTAGTGAGCCATATAGACACCTCTTTATAAAACAAGAAGGCTTGTGTTCTCTCTCAGAGACAACCAGATTCTGATACGCTGGGGCTCTGGACATCTTACACCTAGAGTCGTTCCTAATTGGGGAAGGGCAGTCGTTGAAGGAAGAAGTTATTATCCACCAAAGATAGCACTCTAGATAGAGTGCTCCCGAATTACTCCTGTAATTTTAGTAGTTTATGGCAGCCTTTATTTAAATTGCCTCCTCTTTTGTTTCCCGCTTAAACAGGGTGGGAGAATGGTTCAGTTCAGGGCTATAATATGATGTCTTGCACTTTTTCAAATGTTTTGCAGTTATGCTAAGAAAGAATCTGATCTTAATGGAGCCCAGATCAAGCTTCGAGAATACGAAGCAGCGCTGAATTCGAAAGATGCAGCTTTGGCTACTGCGCTTGGTGATAAGAAAAGTTTAGAGAGTGATTTGGAAGATCTGAAGGATCAGATCGCCCAGGTGAGTTAGACTCTGCTCTTGAGCTGTATTTCAAAGGTTAATAGCCCCATCTGTCTTGATTGTAAAACTTGTTTTATGCTTTTTATCTTAGAAAATGCACTGAGCTATTTTGGCCAGGGGCGGGGTTGTGTGGTTACACCTGCGGGATAGACCTGAGCTAGCCAACGTGTAAGCACCCTCCCCACCCTGTCTCTGTGTCTGGATCGTGCAGATCTTGTGGCTGCCGCTCGTCCTCTCTGCTGTGCTTGTGCTCATTCGTTTCACGATCTCACAGCTTATTTCAGTATTGTACCAAAATGTGAGGTAAAAAGAGAGAAGATGTCTTAATGGTGCCCTCCACACAGGAAAAAATGGAATTGGTAGCTAAAATCGTTCGTTTGAGTTTTGAAACGTAAGCCATAGGTATCTGTTCACCCCCTGTTGCCACTTACCAGATTTGAGGGGTGTTTTGACGTGACACTCTGTGGGTGGGACCAGCGGTTGAACCCACAGTTCTGTAATAAAGATTATCATGAGGGACTCTCACACATTGACAAATATATAGAAATTGTAATACTTGACTTGATTCAGTCCATAGGTATCTATTAGATTCATTACTAAATGATTGCTGTATAATTTTCATTAGTTCTTTTTCCTTCTATTAGTTGGAAGCCTCTTTAGCTGCTGCAAAGAAACAGTTAGCAGATGAAACTTTACTTAAAGTGGATTTGGAGAATCGCTGTCAGAGCCTTACTGAGGACTTGGAGTTTCGTAAAAACATGTATGAGGAGGTAATTATATATAATTTTTCTTCTTTAAGGGATGGAGGGACCCCAAAAGGCTTTGTTATAAACCATACATGTGAAAAAATGGGAAGAATTTTGTAGGCAAAGGATTTAAGGCACTGTTGCTAAAAAGGCTGCATGTAAGAATTCAAGGTGTTATGGTGAATTTATAAGCTTTTACTTTATCTAGGGCTTCCCTTATAGCTCAGTTGGTAAAGAATCCGCCTGCAATGCAGGAGGCCCCGGTTTGATTCCTGGGTCAGGAAGACCTCTGGAGAAGGGATAGGCTACCCGCTCCAATATTCTTGGGCTTCCCTGGTGGCTCAGCTGGTGAAGAATCCGCCTGCAATGGGGGAGACCTGGGTTCGATCCCTGGGTTGGGAAGATCCCCTGGAGGAGGGAACAGCTACCCACTCCAGTATTTTGGCCTGGAGAATTCCATGGACTGTATGGAAACTGTGTGGGGTCACAAAGAGTTGGACACAGCTGAGAGACTTTCACTTGTGCAATAATATAACTTAATTTACTTCATCTAACTTAAAAAGGTCTTGCCACAGCTGTTAATTAACTATCAACCTCTTTAAGCATTGTATTAGTGATATATTACTTCAAAATTTAGTATCTTAAAATCACACTTTTACTATCTTAGAGTTTCTCAAGGTCAGGGATCTAAGAGCTGTTTAAATTGGATGGGTGTCTTCAGGGTCTCATGAGGTTGCAGTCAGGCTTTCAGCCTGGTCTGGAGGAACACTTCACAGTTCATTCACAACTGTTGTCTGGAGATACGGGTTCAGCATCAGCTTCCTCGTGTGTCTATTATGTTAGTCGCTCAGTCGTGCCCGCCTCTCTGCAGCCCTGTGGACTGTAGCCCACCAGGCTCTTCTGTCAGGGCTGCACATGATGGGATTCCTCAAGAGTGGATGATGAGAGAGAGCAGCAAGGCAAGCCACATTCTCTTAAATAGACTAATCCCTAAATGATACACCGTCACTCCCCATCTCACAGACCAACCACGATACAGTGTGGAAGGGGGCTCACGCAGGAGATGAACACCTGGAGGCGACAGTCATTGGGGCTGGCTGCCCACAGCGTTTATAGTTATATGTGTATACTAAAAAATATCATTTATCCGCCATAACTTCTGTGGCTCAGCCTTGAGGGGTAAAAGTAACAGCTGTTACCAAAAAAGATGTGTAGTGTAATACAGTTGAAGAAAGAGGCATGTGTATTTTCTCAAAATTGAGGATTTGAGAACATGCAGGCTAAAGAACATGCAATTAAATACTTCTGTTTTTTAAACGTTTTAATGTTTTTTAAAGTAATGTGATGTTAAAAATGATTAACAATTTTAACATAGGAATTTATTATAGAAATTAAATAATTTTAGTTTGAGAAAAATAATTTAATAGAAGTTGACCATTTTTACTGGGTATTGTGGGGACAAAGCGCAGTCATTGGATAAGCAGCCAGACTTTGGACAGTTCTTGAGTCGGTTTCTTATTTAAAAATGAAATACCAGTACTTGCTGTTTTTTTCCCAAGAAGTGGTGAGGATCAAAGTGAAATACCATATGTGAAAAGCTCCTTATAAATTACTGTGACTGTATAATTATTCACTACAGTTCATAAATTGAAGTATCTTTACGTTGACTTACATTTTCGTTTCATTTCGTTAAAATTGCCCATGATCTATTATTTCTTAGTTTTGAAGCTGTGTGGATTCCTGCATCTTTAAACCAGAGGTTGAGAATTTTTTTCTTTGCAAGTCATTTGTTTTATGTAAAATACTAAGTGAAAAATGACATCAGTAAAAAGTAATTTAGTATTTTTAGAATGTTTGGGTAGCAGCTTTGAATTTTGGGGTTTTGCCTTTTTGAGAGTGAATTAAAAAAAATATTCCTCATTTCTTTTTTTTTTTTTCACATGGAGGGTCAAATTCTATTCAGTAAATATACCTAGATTCCTTATTATGAACGGTTAAGGGGTAAGAGGAAGGAGAAAAGCAGCAAAAAGAGGAAGGAAGGCAGATGAAGGGCAAAATAGCTAATTAGGTACCTGATACTGGTTGAACTAAACCTTTTATTTGCATATTTTCATGATTTAAGTAGCATTCACTTTATATAGATATGAGCCCTGGGAGACTAGTAGCAGAACTGGAATTTGATCCCTGGTTTTCTGATTCTGTCCAGCTCATCTTCCTCTGGCTAAGAGAAAGATGAGGGCATGCATAGAAAAACCGCATGAGAGGATACAGAAACAAGATACAGAAACAAGAAATTCTTCTTATATCTCCCCCTTGTGGCCTCTTTAATTATTGCCATTAAAGACAGATCTATTTTATTTTCAGAGCTAGATGCTAGAATGGAAATTTTATTCTTGGACTTGTGTCCCTAGCCATTCTAGTTTGGATAATTCCTTAAAACCTAATGTGAAGGATTATGCTTATTATTTCTATTCTCTGATAGTGAATTGTCATATGTACTTGAGATAGAAAAGAGATATGGTCAATAAGATTCTGTATCAATTGATGTTGATACCTTAGCATCACCAGCTATTAGGATGAGTCATGTAAATTAGCTTGCTGTCTCCATTGCATCTTAGTATGTCTAAGACAAGTTTTATTTTATGCATAAACCTTCTAGTTGAAGTTTTACTGATAAATTTCTAACTTTTCGTGTGGAGTTTTTTTTTCCAGAGTTATTCTTAATACTGTCAGTACAATTTATAAAAATAATTACATGCTATTCAGTATACCTAGTTATCCATGATTGCATGGTAAAGTCTTCCAGCCATTCCTTGCCTTTAGAGAAATAAATAGCTGTGCTACTGAAAATAAACATAAAACTCCTAGGGTTTGAGATGCCACCATTTCTGTCATTAGTTCTGTCTCAAAAATCTTCTCATTTGAAAATGAAGGCAGAAAAGTGTCTATTCACATGCTTGTCCTAGAACAGACATGAGGAGGTTGGTGTGTAAAACTTCAGATGGTCTTGATATCAGCCATGGTAACTTGGTTAAGTAACTTGGTTTTATGTCATTTTTTCTTCCTAGGAGATTAATGAAACCAGAAGAAAGCATGAAACTCGCTTGGTAGAGGTGGATTCTGGGCGTCAGATTGAGTACGAGTACAAGCTAGCTCAAGCCTTGCATGAGATGAGAGAGCAGCATGATGCCCAAGTCAAGCTGTACAAAGAGGAGCTGGAGCAGACTTACCACGCCAAAGTGAGCAGGCTCTGCCCGGGCTGGCTGTAAACGCGGAAAGCTTTTGTTTCAGAGTCTCCCCGAGAGCATGACTTGATGTTTGGTTTGTTCTAGTTTTATTAAATGAATTCCTGTGGTCTCCATGAATATAGAAAATTGAAAGCAATTTTTTATAAAGTAAATGTTAACTAGAAATTATTCAGAGAAAGTAGGATTATTCCACTTTTACCAAAGGTATGGTCTTTAACCTCTTTGTCCAATTGATCATTCATGTCAAGTTATATTAGTTAAACTCCAGCAATCTAAAAGTAAATTTTCATTCAGTAGCAAGTATTAACTTTGTTGGACTGCATCTAATTCTGACTGCCTGTCATCATTGTACATAGATTGTGACCACCACACTTGGGGCTGTTTTGAACAAAGGCCAAATGGACAGTCTGATATTTCTTCCTCAGTCACTATTCATTTAAAAAAGACTATAGAAACTTCTTTCCTATATTAGGAGACCATGCAAAAATTTATTAAGTCATTGAGTACAGGCTTTCATAGTAAATGATTTTACCCTGATGTGTTAAATGTTACATGATTTGATTAAAAAGTTGTTAGTGGAAGACTTAGAAAATAAGTCATAGAGGTGTTGAAAATAATCTCCATTGCATGGCCTCAAATTGGTCACACTGCTTTTAATCCACTTTATGAAGTAGTAATTGGCTGGTGAGAGGGTGCTCTTTTAATCGCTACAGTAGTTGTTTAGCCCTTCCTTAGTGCTGGCGCTGTGCTGGGCACCGAGGAAGCAAAACTAAGGATGGGTCGGTCACACGGACTCTGGCCTCAGAGGGAGTCAGGGAAGAGACATATAGAAGACATACCTGAAGACAGGCAGGACAGAATGCTGTGGGTATTTGGAGTAATGGCCTATTGTTTCTACCAGAGGAGCTTTTTTTTGCTTCTGAAAGGAAGTATTTCTGTTTGGTTTGCGATAATCTCTTACTTAGTCCTTTCTGTTTATTGTTTTATATTCTGTATCAGATTTGGTGGGTTAGGGATATGTGATGCTTGTTTTCCTACAAACACCACCATGGCTAAATTGCCCCTGTTCAGTCTCCTTATTAGCAGCATTATCTGAGACATTAGACATACAATGGATGAAATAACGAAGCACTAAATTTTGGGTAAACCCACATATATCAGCATTGTTAAGCTCCCATATTGGAAACTGAGCTGAAAAAGCAGAAAAACTTTTAAGGTAACTCATACCACCTCAGCGAACTTCATGGTGCTTTTCCTGTTTCATCAGCTAGTTACTGACAGGGCTTAGGGTTGAAATGAAATATCTTGAGATGATTCATGCTTCCTCATTTGATTCTTCTAATTCACTAGGTAAGACTGACCGTGGTTTGCTTCTTTTCTTAGCTTGAAAATGCCAGACTGTCATCAGAGATGAATACTTCTACTGTCAATAGTGCCAGAGAAGAACTGATGGAAAGTCGTATGAGAATTGAGAGCCTCTCGTCTCAGCTTTCTAATCTACAGAAAGAGGTAAGTAAGCTTCAGAGTTGTGCTGGAAGGCCACCTCCACCACGGTAGTCGGCCTGCTTGGCTCCTCCTGAAATCACTTTTCAGAGAGGATAGTATTTTCTTGAATTCTGGTTTCACAGTGCTCCCCAGAGTTTTTTTCTATTTCTTACTGCATAAGCATCCTCCGGGCAGAGACTGTTGTTCCTAAGCTAACAGATTACCTGGAGCTAAGGGGATTGCCTTTGAGGGAACGACCTGCCGGCTTATTTTCTGGACTTACCCCAGGACCCTGGTGTTCTGACCCAGCCAGCAGTCTGATCTCCACACGGTGCTCTTCCCAACGTACTCGTTTTCATCACGTTTAGAAACTTATGAATGAAAACCTGCGCAAGTTCTTTGTGAGTGGTAAATGCTTTGTGTTTCCAGACAGACTCACTTGGTGCTTAGAATACTCAGTAGTTACTAACTTGGGAAGCAGCATTACTTTGCATCTTGGCTAAGAATTTAGCAATTGATTCATTCATCGGCACACCTAACTGTCTTATGACTGTTGCTGGTTGTGTTGATGGGTGCCTGTCAGTACATAATGGGGCACTCTAGATGCTGCATAAGCAGGTGTGGACACCGCCTGGAATCTGGTTTTTGGTTCAAGGGTGATGCCGCTGTGGATGCAAAGTACATGTATAACCTTGTAAGTGTGTGGGATATGTTGATAATCTACTGGTCACCTTAGTGACTTAGGCAGTAACTTCAGCCCTGTTTTCCTTAAGGGAGGAAGTTTTGTTGTTTTAAATTTTTCATATAAGAGTAAACTTTTTTATTCTTGATTAAATAAGCTTTCTTCTTTTTTAATATTTTGTTTTTAGTAGTATCCTTTTCTGATTATAAAACTGAAGACATTTATTGTAGGAACTTAGAAGACACCTTATTGTGTAAAACGAGGTGATGTAAAAAGAACTTGATTAAAACAGAAGTTTTTCCTTTGCCATTATCACATGTACTTCATTACTCACAGCATAAAGTTAAAGAGCTGGAAGGACAAGGGCCTTTGAGTTCACTCAGTCTGACCACAGACCTGGGTGAGTTTAATGACCAGCCCAGAAACTGTAAGCTGACAAATGGGTTTCTTTCATTGTTCCCAGTTTTTCTCTTTATACCTTACTCTCTTCAAAGATTTTCTTTTAAGAATTTAACAATATTTTTTCCATTGCCTCATTTAATAGGTACCTTTCCAAAGATAGTCCTGTCTGATTTTACTCTGAGTTGACATTTACTACTTTTCTCCATTTAATAAATGGTATTCTGGTTATTCCCTCTCCGTCAGTTTTTCATTTCCGTATCCTTTAGGAGGTGGGGGCAGGGGCTGATGCTTAATGCACTTGATTATGCCAGGCGTGGATGTTCTACAGGTGAGGTGAGTAGCCTGTGGTTGAATGGCAGTCGGCTCTGACACTTGTGGCTGTGTCTTCTGACTCAGCTCCAGGGCTCTTTCCCTGTTTGCCTGTTAGTGATGTTAGCAAGTTTTTTGGTTAACTTCAGGTTCAGTTCAGTTTAGTTTAGTCATGTCTGACTCTTTGTAACTCCATGGACTGTAGCACACCAGGCTTCACTGTCCATCACCAACTCCTGGATCTTGCTCAAACTCATGTCCATTGAGTCAGCGGTGCCATCCAACCATCTCATCCTCGGTGATGCCATCCAACCATCCCATCCTCTGTTGTCCCCTTCTCCTCCCGCCCTCAGTCTTCCCCAGCATCACGGTCTTCTCCAGTGAGTCAGCTCTTCGCATCAGGTGGCTGACTTCGCATCAGGTTAGCAGCTCTTACACAGTGTTAGGCAGGGTGTTTTGAAGAGCTCCTTCCTTAGGAAATAGGAGAGACGTGCCTGCTTCAGCCAGATAGTTTTAGATTTCTCTCTTGGGGGTGGAGAGTGATCCTTTCCAGTATCAAATTTTATGATGAATAATGTATCTTGAGGGATACCTTCTTTAGTTGATGAATTTTAGCCTTAGGTCATTAAAAAGACATCTCTAGATCTTTGTTTTGGAGTATCTAGAGCTGTGGAGTCACTGGTTTCATCACGCTGCATGTTGGGCCGTAGAACTTCCTCTTTGGTTATGCGACTCATGTTGATGCAGCAGTTCTTTAGTTTTACCTACAGTTGATACAGGCTTTACAATGGTGACTTAGAAAATATTTTTATGTAATGTAGCAGCAGTATTATATTTTGTAATTAGGCATTTCATATATTGCGTACAGCTTTTCTTTCATTTCTGTCTATATTTTTGACTTTGGCTAAATTAACAAATTGGTCAGGGTCTGTTTGAGTTGCAGAAGAGTTTAGTGGCACATTGAAAGCACCTCTATTTTTTGTTTTTCTAACACCCAAATTCTGGAAACTTCTGGGAGAGCTAGATTATAATAAACTGGTACAATTATGTACTTTAAAACAAAGAGAATCCTACACCATTAGAAATAAGTAATACAGTTTTAGAGTTTTGAGGCAGAATCTTACAGATAGTCTAGTTGGACCTTTCTGTTTTCCTAATGGTACCAGTTTAGTGAGGTGTGTTATTTATTTATTTATTTATTTTTCCATTTATTTTTATTAGTTGGAGGCTAATTGAGGTGTGTTATTTAATGGCAGAATCAGGAAGAAGGATCTAGATCTATGTCTTGTGTTGCAGTCTTTGTATTTCACTATGAAGCAGGTCTAGTGCCGCTATTTAAACTACATTTAAATATTTCTATTTAAAAATACAAAGTGATTCAGAGTAATTTTAAAGCTTATTTATACCTAGATTTTGATTTTTCCCTCTTACAGAACCCTGTAACATCTAAGGTGGACAAATAGGGTACATTTTGGCCTTTATAGATCGAGGCTAAAAGTTTTCTCTGAGTCTTGGGTGATTTATGTCTCTTTAGATTAGACATTGTCGCCCATCTGTCTCTCCCACCTGATAAATAAAAATAAAGAGGTTGATTGAAGAGGAGACATTTTACTTATTTTTAGGCTGCGCTGCATGAGAGATCTTTGTTCCCTGACCCAGGATCGAACCTGTGCCCCCTGCAGTGGAAGCACAGAGTCCTAACCATTGAAGTGCCAAGAAGTTCCCAAAGAACATACATTTTACACTTAACCGTTTTTTATTGTGGAGGAAAGAAAATATAAGAACCCTGAGAAAGGGAAAGCATGGATTTCTCAGTTTATAGCCTGTTTTTTTTTTTTTTTTCAAATACAGTTAAATGCATGTTCTCTGAGGCAGGATTTTGTTTAGCATCCCCCTTGAGGTGAATGCTTGCTTCTGACATAGAATGTCTCTGGATTTTAATTAAATCATTGGTTGGCTATTTTTTAAATAACATTTTTACTTTGGCATAATTGTAAATTTGTAGGAAAGTTGGAAAGCGGGTACACACAACTCCCTTAGCTCCCTCCCCCAGTTTTCCTTTTTTGTTAGCATCTTAGATGGCTGCGGTTCATTTGTCAAAACTGAGACATCGCCATTGGTACATTTTTGTCAGCTAGACTCTACACTATTTGGACTTTACCAGGTTTTCTGTTACTGTTCTTCTTCTGTTTTAGGATACCACAGATCTCCCTAGTCTCCTCTGGTTGCTGACAGTTTTTCAGACTTTCTTTGTTTTTCATGACCTTGACAAGTCATGAAAAGCTCTTCTTAAGGAAGAGCTGGCCAGGTATGCTGTAGACTGTCCCCCAATCTTAAGTTTATCTGGTGCTTTTCTTATGATTAGCCTGGAGATATGGATTTTAAATGCCCTTCTTGTTACATCATATCAGGGATTATGTGACATGCACGCAATATCATTGATGGTGATAACCTTCATCATTAGCTAAGACACTGTTTGCCAGGTTTCCCAACTGTAAGTTACTCTTTTTGTGTTTCCCTACTATGTTTTTAGGAAGCAAGTCACTGAATCCAGCCTGCTGTCAAGGATAAAGAGCAGGAATTTTGCGTCACATTCTGAAGAGAGTATTTACCTTTATTAAATGGAATGCTTTTATAAAGATTCATCTCTTCTTCCCCTATTTGTGTATTTATTTATTCATTCATTGGTTTCTGTCAGTATGGACTCACGGAAATCTTTTTATAATTTGGACTATATTTGGACACTAGATTACTTTATTGGCTCAGATTGTTCCAGCTTTGGCTTTGAGGAGTTTTGTCAGATTGGCTGACATGTTCCCCCCTTTTTGGAGCACTTCTTTTTTTTATGGTTCTGTGATATGCTCCAGGCTCATCGTGTATTTTCCCTATCTCAGTACTGGTACCAGCTATTTCTTCAGGGAGCTCTGGTTCTCTTTACTGGAGAGTGGTATCTAGAAAGTAAGTTCTGTGGGCCCTGGGTATGCTCCTTGGTATTGGGGTATCATTGTTTCTAAGTCTGCTTGTGGGCAGAACTAGGTAAATGTGTATATGCTAACCCATGTTTGCATGCTTATCTGTAATTGTGTCTCTGTCCACTTGTATTTGTATTAAGGTAACCAAGTGTTTACACAGGTGCCTGGGACTCTGGCCCTGCACCTGGGTTCACTTTAGGCTTCCGTCCTTGCTTACCTATTTTTTTTTGTGTGTGTGTGTAGTAGAGTTTATTAAAGTATAAAAGGGATAGAGAAAGCTTCTGACACAGACATCAGAAGGGGGTAGAAAGAGTACCTTGCTAGTGTTAGCATTGGAGTTATATACTCTCCAATAAATCCAAAGAATGTCTGGAGGTTGTAAAGGCCTCACTAGACCTACTCCCATAATTTACATTTTAAGATAACTGAATTAGCCAGAAGGTTTAATCCAGAGACTGTCCTCAGGCGAGATGCATCCTTGTAAAGACCAGGCATAGTCCCTAAATTGTTGAGGCAACATATTCTCCTAACCCTCATATTGAGGGTCTCTGATCCAGGGGCCCCACATAATAGTTGGAGGAGGTTGTGGCACTCGTAGGAGCTTGGACAACCATTTGTAAATTAAAAGCTTTTAGATGATTAGAAAACCCCATTATACAGTTACAAACGTAAGGCAAAATAGTCATTAAACCATGTTAAAATCAAAATGAAAAGTCACATTATGTCCATAGCTAAAGTACAAAGTGTTGCACCAGTTCATTTTAGGGTTATTAGATGTCATCAGTTTAAGAAGAGGCATCACATGCGATTGTTGTCAAAGGTATTCGCAGACTTGGAGCAAGTCTTTTCCTTGAAGTGGAGATGTCCACCACGAGAAGAAACCTTTCGCTGTTGAAGAGGGGAGCGCTCCACAGACCCAGCAGTTAGACTGATTGTGGAATGCAGTGTAGAAGTGATCCCAGGACAGGAAGGCATTGTCTTGAGGATCAAACAGCAGACTCAGGATTTTGGAGTCAGCAGAAGTAGGCTTACATAGATTATCAGGCCTATCTTTTGGCTCGTCCAGATAGTCCCGTTATGGAAGCGGATCGGGAAGAAAGTGGGCCAGGGGCTTCAGTAAGCACAGAGTAAGTTGTCCCAGTATCTAAAAGGAAATCAACGGATTGGCCCCCCACAGTTATTAATACCTGGGGTTCCTCAGGTGTAATCAGGATGGGAGCTTGTGTGGGGACCCCCGGGCACCTTCAGTCCTGATTGTCTTGAGAGTCCGACCCCTGAAACCTACGCCTCTGGGGGCAGTCTCTCTTCCAATGTGGTCCTTTGCAGATGGGACATGGAGCTGGGGCGGCTTAGATACCTAAGGGCAATCCTGCTTGAGATGCCCCTCCTTTCCACAGTAATGACAAGCCCATCCCTTTTCACCTGGGTCCCTCAGGGCATTTTTCTCAGGCTATTTAAGAATGGTTCTCATAGCCATTGCTAGGGCTTCTACCTGTTCCTTTGTCTTTTTCTGCCTTTCTTTCTTTTCCTCATATTCTCTACCATAATAGACTGTCTGAGCCAGTTGTAACAGATTATCTAAAGACTGATTTGGTCCACATGCCCATTTTAATAGCTTACAGCTATCTGGAGCTGACTGAGTGAGAAATCTATCCTTTAAGATCACTTTTCCCTCTTCACTTTCGGGATCAGTCTCAGTGAATCTGCTAAGGGCTTCTCTCAGTCTATCTAGGAATCTACCAGGAGCTTCCTTCTCCTGTTCTGTGTTTGCCAATTTGCCATAGTTTAAAGGCTTAGTACATGCCTGCCTGAGTCCTTCAAGAATACATCTGACAAAATGACTCTGATCCCATCTTCCTTTGACTACTTCCTTTGTTGTAGTCCCAGTCTGGTTCTGTAATTGGGACCACCTGATTTACAGTGGGGAGGGCGGTTATCTTGTCCTTCCCTTCCCTACTGATTCATTACCAAACCATTCATCTCCATCAGTTCAGTTCAGTTGCTCAGTCGTGTCGACTCTGCGACCCCAAGAATCACAGCACGCCAGGGTTCCCTGTCCATCACCAACTCCCGGAGTTTACTCAAACTCATGCCCATTGAGTAGGTGATGCCATCCAGCCATCTCATCCTCTTGTCGTCCCTTTCTCCTCCTGCCCCCAATCCCTCCCAGCATCAGGGTCTTTTCCAATGAGTCACCTCTTCGCATGAGGGGGCCAAAATACTGGAGTTTCAGCTTCAGCATCAGTCCTTCCAATGAACACCCAGGACTGATCTCCTTTAGGCAACCGCTTTTCTCAAAACTTGACTTTTTGAGTCGGGAGTCAGCGTTTGTCCCAAGATATACATCACATCCTTCCAAGTAAGGTCATAAAGCAGAGTAACACCTTTAAAAGCTCTAATATATTTTTTCTGGGTCCTCTAAATAGTCTTCCAGATCCCCCTTGATTCTTTTTATTTCTTGATAAGAAAAAGGCTATTAACTCTCATAGACTGATTATTTCTCCCAGTGGGTGTTTCATGAAGAGGCAACAGCTTGTGTGGCTGTTCCCCTAGTCTCCCTGGCTGCTCTGCACATATGATCCCAGGGATAGATTGGAGAAACCTGCTTTTCTTTATCTCTTTGTCTCCTGTCCTCCATCTCATCTAGCAAAGTAGGAGGACAGGAGGGAGCTGAAGGAGTCACACCCAAATCTATACCCTTAGGACACAAGTCTGGCATATTTTGCAGAGAGAAAAAGGGCAACAGCTACTTCTACCCATTTCCCTTGTTTTCTACAGAACCAGTCTAATTGTAAAACAGTATTATACTTAAGAGACCCTCCAACCGGCCACCGTTTCCCATCCTCCAGTGGATACCGTGGGCATGCAGTATCACATAGAAACATGAGGTGTGTCTTCTTTAAGCCCTGGGGATCAAATCTATCCCAGTTTTCCAGGATACAGTTCAAAGGAGTGAGGCTGGAATTGTTAGCTCCCATCTTGTCCTGAAGAATCCCGGACGAGCCCCCGAGATGAAAGTTTGTTGCTAAGTCCACGAAAAGATGCCTGGATTCTTGGCCTCCAGAGGAGAAGAATTCAATCTGGGGCCAGAGATGAGACTTAATTGCTCAGAGCTTTTGTGTAATAGAGTTTATTAAAAGTAAGGGGGTAGAAAGAGTACCTTGCTAGTGTTAGCAGTGGAGTTATATACTCTCCAATGAATCCAAAGAATGTCTGGAGGTTGTAAAGGCCTCACTAGACCTACTCCCATAATTTACATTTTAAGGTAACAGAATTAGCCAGAAGGTTTAATCCAGAGACTGTCCACAGGCAGGATGCATCTTTGTCCCTTGCTTACCTATAACTTCTCTCTCTGAGGGTAAAAAGCCTGGTTTCTACCCTCCCGTTTCCTTATTTGTCCAGCCTCAGTATACATGTAAAACAGTTTGAAATTATTTAGCCTATACCCCTGTGTGAAATAAATTCACGAGCTAGAGTGTAATGTTTCTGCTCAGAATAGAGATACTTTTTATCTTTAGCCTTCCAGATTTCACTCTCGCACAGTATGTGTCCTTTCCCTCCTGCTTTGATGCATAGGTACTTGAAATTTAAGGGCCTAAGCTCTACATCAGTGTTTTGGAGTTGATTACCTTGGTCATTTTCTGAGGTTAGGGAGATGAATTCTGTTTTGGAGACATACAGATGAGTGATTACCTGGTGAATGACAGGGTTTCTAAGATGAACCTTCTTGTGTAGGAAGTGTAGGAATTTTTCATTTTTTTAAAAATACCAAATATGAGGTTTCCATGTTTACAATAATATTTACAGACTGCATTATATCATATGGTGTTTGCATGCTGATGGAGTGTGGGATAGCACACCATTTCTGAAGTGGTAACTAGAATCCCTTTTGTTAAGTTTCTGAATTGTTCCAGCAGTTCCCCATAAGATACTCGGTTTCTTTTGTTAATGAGTTTTCTTTTAATTCTTTGTTTTTGTTACTTTATACTTTTGAGCTAAATGGTTTGTAGGGGAGCCAGACTTTTTTTACTAAAACCACAGCTTAAGATTTTGTTTCATTTGGTCAAAGAAAAATTATATGTATATTTATGACACATTTGATGAATGTCTTTTCCTAGCCTTTTTATAAGACAAAACTTTCCTAAGAGTTGTATTTTGTATTGGAGGAATTTTGTTTTTTAATTTCTTAAAGTAAAAATGTTCTTGAATTCTGGTGTTAAGAGATTGGATTTGTTCCAGGTCAGGAAATGTTTTAAAATAGCTGTGCTAGTGTTGTGCTAATGTTGGAATGTTCCTAGAAAGTAAATGTGTTCCTTTGAATCTTCAGTCTAGAGCATGTTTGGAGAGGATTCAAGAGTTGGAGGACTTGCTTGCTAAAGAAAGAGACAACTCTCGCCGCATGCTGTCTGACAAAGAGAGAGAGATGGCGGAAATACGTGATCAGATGCAGCAACAGTTGAGTGATTATGAACAACTTCTTGATGTCAAGTTAGCCCTGGACATGGAAATCAGTGCTTATAGGAAACTCCTAGAAGGTGAAGAAGAGAGGTATGTAACTTGCTTGTCACCCCAGCTCGTAGTCTAGTTTTGCCCCCACCCTTTCTATTTAAAGAAAAGTAAATAGGATTTTTTTTTTTAACAATTAGGATGACTAAATGTTTTCTCATTTTTTTTTTAATACCTAGGTGTAGAGGTAGGTAGTAATAGATCATACTTCTACATCAACAACAGAAGATGTATAAGCAGTCTTAGTATTATTATTTTAAATGCTGAACTGTGAAAGGATACCATTTCTCCTTTGGGATTTTAAATGTTTTGATAATTTAATATGCTGCAAAATGACTTCCAGGTGGCTCAGTGGTGAAGAATCCCACTGCCAGTGTAGGAGCTGTAGAAGATGTGGGTTCGACTCCTGGGTTGGGAGGATCCCCTGGAGTAGGAAATGGCAACCCACTCCAGTATTCTTGCCTGGGAAATCTCATGGACAGAAGATCTTGGCGGGCTACAGTCCATGGGGTCACAGAGAGTCGGACGCGACTGAGCACGCACGCAGGCATGCTGCAAAATACCAGATTTGCTGAAAGAGACTGTATACTTTTCAAATCTGGTTAGTGTATAAATCCTTTTAAACCTTTTCTGAGAAAAAAGTTCCAAAGGGAAAGTATCTCACTTAGAATAAAAAGACATTTAATTTCAATATTGCATACATTATGATTGTAATTTTGTAAACAGAAAATACAGGTTTGAAAAAATTAAGGAAAGTATACTAAATGTAGCAGTGGTTGTGGTAGGGTGCTGGTAGATGAGTTGTTCACCCCAACCTCTCACCACCCCCTCTCCCAGTTTTCCAAACTTCCTGCATTACGGTTGTGGTCTTTTCTTAGCTAAAACATTCAGATAATAGTTTTTAAAAAGAATGTTGATAGTGGGCATTGTAGTACAAGGCAGTTTCTTTTTGTTAAGATGTACGTTGGCTTTGTCTAACAGGTCGTCATTAATGTTGTGCTTTAGTAATGCATGTGCGTTAAGTAGGAAGAGCATATGTGTTTCATAATTGGAATGTTTTATTTCTCCTGTGTAGATTGAAGCTCTCTCCAAGCCCTTCTTCCCGCGTGACAGTGTCGCGCGCATCCTCGAGTCGCAGCGTGCGCACCACCAGGGGAAAGCGGAAGCGGGTGGACGTGGAGGAATCCGAGGCCAGCAGCAGTGTCAGCATCTCTCACTCTGCCTCAGCCACTGGGAATGTCTGCGTGGAAGAGATAGATGTTGATGGAAAATTCATCCGCTTGAAGAACACTTCGGAACAGGTGAGAACACAGACCCCTTTTTGTCCAGGGAGGCTTTGCTGATTGGGGCTATGTCTTGCAGTTGTGATAAGTCCTCAGCCTTTATTTGGATCAGTCATCTTCATGAAATAAAGAGTTTCCCTCTCCTTTTTAACCCAAACTCATGAAGCGTAGCATAAACTTGAATAGGAAAAGGAAGAGGGATGGTGCACTTAGTGGTTTAAAAATTTTATTCGTTACCTCTTCTTTAGAGAGCCAGGGATTTTTTTCGCACCCGGTCATTTTGTCACTGTGGCCGTCCTAAGGATGAATTATTAATATTCCCTATCCTAGCCAGAATTGTGAAGAAGATAGATTATGTAGATATTCTTTCACAACTGTTAGGTTTATGAAATGAAGGAAATATGAGCCCAGACTCTGACATATGTTAGGAGTGTTTTTCTCTCTAAATAAAGAAATGAACATTGTTGATTTAATATACACTAGGAATAATATGAAGCCCAATCTTGAAATTATTTAAAAGTAAACATAAAATATTCATAGCAGGGAATCCTGAACTTTCGAGCTGGGGCCGTGAAGGGTTGTCAGATGATGCCAGAGGCAGGTCTGGGGTGTACAGTGGAATGGATCTCACTTTCAGAAGCACGTTCAGGATTTGTAAAATGTCTGTAAAATGACTTCTCCTCAAAGCTATTAAAACTGTCTTGCATGTGGATGAATAAATACTTTGGATGGGCAAAGGTGCTTTAGTGGTTCTGATACAAAACAGCACAGGCCCTAAGCCCTCTTAGCCACGACTTTGGAAACTGAAGGACGGGGGCGCCTCCGCTGCTCCGGTGTAGCGGTGTGGCGTTCCAGGAGTCCTTGCCGCCCTTCTCGGAGCTGTTCTGGAGCTGGCGCCCGGCCTTGTTTGTTCCTGTCTGAGTAGGGGATGGATATGAGTAAGTTAGTGCAGCCGCTTGCTTTAGTGCCCCGAACTGCCCCTTAGGAGGCAGGCAGCTCCGGGCAGGCTGTGGGCTGGCTCATTATGTCGAGAGCCCTTTTGAGCCTGGCGCTTTAAGGCGAGTGCTGGGTGTGGGCACAGGCGGCGCAGATGTGGGAGGAAAGGGCGTGCTTCCCTCCGCCTCCTTCCCGGCTTCTTGTGTCTGGGCTTTAAAGCTCGCAGCGGCCAAAAGCTCGGTGTGTGAGGTGCAGTTCTTAAGCTAGGTGATGCTGCGAATTTTAGTTATGCACCTCATCTGGCATTGAGTATGACCATTCAGTTTGCTTGACATCTCTTTTCTTCTAGTTTTGCCCTCTTTAAGACCATGCGCCTTAATAATTAAGATTGCAGCATTGTCAAAGTTGCTGTTTTGCTGAATGACAAAACCATGTTTTCTTTTTATAGTAGGGAAAATAGGAACCATGGGAAGACAGTCATAAAGTTGTCTTAGTTTAACTGCCTATGGATTGATTTATTTGATTATTCCATAACTTTTTGTATATTTGAAATGACCTTCATTTCTTTTTTTTTTTTTTTTCAATAGGACCAACCAATGGGAGGCTGGGAGATGATCAGAAAAATTGGAGACACATCAGTCAGTTACAAATATACCTCAAGATACGTGCTGAAGGCAGGCCACACTGTTACAGTAAGTTAATTTAGTTATCGTTTGATTTCATCATCTTAACCAATAACTAGAGTAATTGAAACCATTTTGGCTTAAAGAGACATTTTAGAAATGGGCATTAAAACGTTTTTGACATTATTAGGGAATTACAAGTGCTACCAAATATTTAAAAACTTCTATGATTTTGAGATGGTAATTGACTGTTAAAAGTGAAAGAATTGGCCTCTGAAATATTTTTATCTACTCCAGTAGATGTTAACAGCTGATTCCCCCCACCCCTCCCTGCTTGTCTCCCCACAAAAGGAAAACAAAACAAAAAAAAGCAGCTGCCTTTTGAGTGTTACCTGGTAGCCCAGTGTGATGCAGGAGATACTGCTGGGCATAAAGAACTGTTAGGAGGTGATCTGTTAATGCTGAGGTATGGCTTAAAACAGCAGTCTTTAGCCTTAGGTGAGGATCAGTATCATCTGGATAGTGTTTTGGTGTCTAGACTCTACCTCACTCTTCGTTACCATCTCTGACGTTGGGCTAGGGACTTGTTTTAACAAAAGGGCTCCAAGATTATTAGTGCAGATGGTGACTGCAGCCATGAAATTAAAAGATGCTTGCTCCTTGGAAGAATAGCTATGTCAAATCTAGACAGTGTATTAAAAAGCAGAGACATCACTTGGCCCACAAAGGTCTGTATAGTCAAAGCTATGGTTTTTCCATTGTCATGTATGGATGTGAGAGTTGGATCACAAAGGCTGAATGCTGAGGAATTGATGGTTTCAAACTGTGGTGCTGGAGAAGATTCTTGAGAGTCCCTTAGAGACTCCAAGGAGATCAAACCAGTCAATCCCAAAGGAAATCAACCCTGAATATTCATTGGAAGGTCTGGCGCTGAAGCTGAAGCTCCAATACTTTGGCCACCTGATGTGAAGAGTGGACTCATTGGAAAAGACTCTGATGCTGGGAAAGATTGAGGGCAAGAGGAGAATGGGGCAACAGAGGATGAGATGGTTGGATGGCATCACTGACTCAGTGGACATGAGTTTGAGCAAACTCCAGGAGATAGTGAAGGACAGGAAGCTTGGCATGCTGCAGTTCATGGGGTCACAAAGAGTTGGACACCACTTAGCAACTGAACACAGCTAGATGATAGGTACTGTTGTAAAGTTTCATTCTCTAAACATAATATTTTAGCAAGATTAGCGTGGTTTTTCAGATATCTGAGCTGTCAAGATTTAGAGTGAGATGGGCTTCATGCCGTTCTGACTGTTGGTGCTTTGTAGTTGTGTTCTGAAGTTTCACATATGTAATCATTACTAAGTATTACTGACTTACTTTTTAGAGAAATATTCTCCATTGAGCAAAAATACAATTCCTTTGTTTTTACTCAGCAAGTAGATTTAGCAAACAAAATATGTTAAGTTTGATACAGATTTTAAAGACGTCACTGTTTTCATCTGTAAAGAGTGTTGAAGTGGCTGTCCTTTTATCAATTCTTTTTTAAAAATATTAAGCAAATGTTTAATATTTTATGATTGATACAGACCTTACTTAGTGTTGAATATCAAAGCCTCAACTAGGTTAGAACTTCTCTTTTTAAAAATGTATTCATAGAACTTGCCATCACATTATGAAAATATCAGATGCTAATTTTGTAATAATTGGTGAAAATGGGAACATACCCTAACCACACTGTCTTTTCGTCTCTTTTGTGATGATTATAGTGAGAAAATTGCTCAGTCCTATTGTGTGTCATGTGGAAGCTGCATAATGTAGTGGAAAGAATCTGACATTTTAATTCAGAATTTTCAGATTTGACTGTGCTCTTTATCTCTTTAAAGTAGTATAAAACCCTTAGGCCAGTCATCTGCTTTTTCCACTGAATGTAGTTCCTCAATGACTCAATTGATATATATATATTCTGTGGATCTAGGGGAGAAATCAGTTTTCACATGAAAAAGTAATACTTTTTTTTTTCATTTGTTAACTGGCATTAAATGTGTTAAGAAGCTCTGTAGAACATGCTAGTGATAAGTGATCTTCCAATAGCAAAGATCAGTTTAAAACTAGACCAGAAATAAGGGAACTACATATGTAATTTTAAATTTTCATGTAGCCACATTTAAAACAAGGGAAAAAGAAAGGTGAAATTAATTTTAGAACTATCTTTTATTTAACTCAGTATATCTAAAATATTATCATTTCAACAATTTATTATATCATGATCAATAGAAAAAATTACTAGATATTATATATATATTTTTTCCACTAAATCTTTATACTTAGAGATATACTTACTGGCCACGTTTCAGGCGCTCACAAGCTTCATATGACTACCATGTTGAGCAGTAAGCTCTAGGACATGTTAGTTTTAGGTTAAATTACCCAGTAAGGTTACTGACGTGTTACAATTATTATTAACACTAAATCAAGTGTATGATTCCATATGGAATAGTGAAAAGTATAGCTTGAGGTTAGATTAATATTCCACAAAACCCAAAGCTCAGCCTGGATCCAGTTCTTTTTTTCAGTTTTATCCTAGTAAATGCTCTCTGCCCTTTTCCATTTATATAGCTGATGGAAGATTTGGAAGCTTCAAGGGAGCACCTTAAGAGGAAAGGGGTTTCTCCTAATTAGTAATTGATAAAGTTTTCTCCCCATTTAAAAAGATACCAGCTTATACCATCTCCAGTCTTCATTTTGCCATTGTATGGCCCTTTATGTTCCTAAACGATTTATAGAGTACTAAACTTTGCTGTCTGTCTTCATGTGGTCTTCTGAAAAGATCAGGACTGGTCGTAGTGAACCTACATGGAGGACATAGAGGTTTGTGGAGGTGCAGTGTTACGCTCCTGGTAAAGAATTTGCTTGCAGTGCAGGAGACATAGGAGACCCGGGTTCGATCCCTGGGTCGGAAAGGTCCCCTGGAGAAGGAAATGGCCACCCACTCCAGTGTTCTTGCCTGGAGAGTTCCATGGACGGAGGAGCCTGGCGGGCTACAGTCCATGGGGTCGCACAGAGTCAGACATGACTGAGGGACTCTTACATCACATATCACACACATATGCCCATGATTCAAACCCAGGTTTTCTAACTTTCAGGTTGTCTCTATTCTACCAATACTCTTCTGCCAGTAAATACATTAAAAATGTTGCAGAATTTCCTTGTTTAGGAAAAGGGAAATATTTCTTTTTGTTTTGTCTGCTTCAATAGCAGTCATATTTTCCATTGAATAATGAGTGATTTTCTGTTTCCTGACTTCTTTTTGGAATTCAGTCTCAGCCACTCTGGAGTATTATGACACCGTCTCTAGTTGGGTACATACCACTTTCCATTACAGTATTGTAGATAGGCTGTCTGCTGCAGAGGTTTTGAGAGAAGTTAGTCATTTCCTCAGTTCCTGCTGTAGGCAGCTAGAGGATCCCACTGGAAGAGGGCAGAAGGCTCTACATGGAAGGATGGCTCATAAAACCCATAGAATAATAGAGTGCTGGCAGTGAGAGCCTATATTCGTTGAGTCAGCCATCTCCTCTTTGTCAGTTCAGTTCACTTCAGTTGCTCAGTCGTGTCTGACTCTTTGCGACCCCATGAACTGCAACACGCCAGGCCTCCCTGTCCATCACCAACTCCCAGAGTCCACCCAAACCCATGTCCATTGACTCAGTGATGCCATCCAACCATCTCATTCTCTGTCGTCCCCTTCTCCTCCTGCCCTCAATCTTTCCCAGCATCGGGGTCTTTTCCAGTGAGTCAGCTCTTTGCATCAGGTGGCCAAAGTATTGGAGTTTCAGCTTCAACTCCTCTTCGTGGGCCATCATTTTCCTTCACAGTGGTCCCATGTGTTAACAGTACTGTTTTGTCCCACTGGAGGGTAAAAGTCAGGTAGTTTGCTCAAGGTGAACTGACATGTTAGGAGAGCTAGGATATGAATCTAGTCCTTGTAGCTGCATTTTTACTTATTAGATGGGGAAGCTGAGGTCTGGATAAGCTCTGTGGCTCTTGGAAACATAACTGGTTAATATAGCAAGGCTGAAGCTAGGCCATAGTCCTGGAAATTCTAGAATCACTCCTCGTACGAGATGTTACAAAGTCTTATGTCATTGGCACGTTGGCGAGCAGGGCTGTGTGTAGACTGAGTTGATTTCTTGTCTCTTTTCCAGATCTGGGCTGCAAATGCCGGTGTCACAGCCAGCCCTCCCACCGACCTCATCTGGAAGAACCAGAACTCTTGGGGCACTGGCGAAGATGTGAAGGTTATATTGAAAAATTCTCAGGGAGAAGTACGTATAAGTTCCGCCAAAGTGCTGTTTTTTCTTTTAATTGTAGTGTAGTTGGTTTATAGTGTGTTAATTGCTGCTCTACAGCAAAGTGATTCAGTTACACAAATACGTGTATTTTGTAAAAATATTCTTTTCCGTTATGGTTTATCATAGGATATTGAATGTATTATTTCTCTGTGCTATTGTAAAGCAGGGCCTTGCTTATCCATTCAGTATGTAAAAGCATACTTCTGCTAACCCCCACCTCCCTGCCCATCCCTCCCCAACCCCCTCCGCCTTGGCCACCGCAAGCCTGTTCTCTGTGTCCCCACCGCGGCGTCAGTTTCGTTTGAGAGTTCATCGTGCAAGTGTGATTTCTTTTCAAGAATGAAATCAAATGTGAAGTAACTGATTGCTTAAATCAGACCAAGGCTGCTGAGTCGGTGAAAGTAATGCTAACTGCAGGTTTTAGATGTTAGGAATGAAATATGAGTTTGTCATAATTTTGATTGTTAGCGCAGATTCCAGAATTCAGTCTGTGTTCAGTTTCTGTCTCCACTGCCCAGTGGCCTTTTGACTTTAGGTGAGTTCCTTCAGCTCTCTTAGTTTTATCATTTTAAAGTGAAGATGGTAATCACAAAGTAGTTACTATAAATGAGATGATAGTTGAAGAATAATATAAATGAGACAGTCCTTGGGAAGTGCTCAGAGCAGTATCTGGCCTCTGGTAAATGCTTATATTATTAACCTCGTTGCTAGCTTTCAGCATGCTTGTGAAACTGAGTTTAAAGATTGAGGAGTGTATCTTTGCTTGATGTGTATGTTTTCAACATGTCAGTCATAGAATTCTTGTCAAAGAATCTAACCTACCCCTACTGTCACATAAAGACACTGCCAAGTCCCCCCAGCCACACACATATACTAAGAGATGAAAGTGTCTGCCAAGGAAGGCGTGGCTACAGGTCAGGAGTCCTCCTCTGCCCCCAGAGTGCCAGGCTACACACCTTGCCTTCTTATTAGGTTGTCTCGTCTCACTAGAGACACCAGGGACAGGGACCCCTGTTCTGAGTTTTCCTGGCACTTATTCAGTAAGAATTTACTAGATAAAATTTTAGGAAACTCAAACATAGACCTTCACTTAAGTACAGGGAGATAGTTATTAACTGCATTCACGATGGGTCTGAGGTGTTTGCATATGAGGCGCCTTGTGCCCAGCCATCTTCCCACCCATCCCTCACTGTAAACATCTGCTGGTGCTTAGATTGCTCTTCATATGGAACTCACTGTCTGCTGAAGAAGAGTGCCCTTGATCTCAGACTGAGGCTGAAAATGAAAGGGCATCTGGTATCTTTCACTGTAGACCTCAGTACAGTTCACCTCCAAATACGTCCGAGGTTCTCAGGGTTGGAGGGTGTTTAAAAGTGCCTTCAGTAACTGACAAACTGCAAGGAGCCGAATCTCCCTCCTCTTCTCAGCGTGGAGCCCTGCATACTTCTTGCCTTCAGCACTTTGGAACTCCTCCCCGCTGTCACTGGTGCTGCTGCCCGAGTGCTGAAATTACTGCAGCTCCTAAACTGGTAGTTTCTCCAACGTCTGAAACTGGTGGAGTACGTGTGTTTTTCAAAATGTTATGAGTGGTGATTCACCCAGATTGAAAAGTGCTGTTATAAGGGGCCATGGTAGATGAAATAGGTTTTTATGAGCCATGGAATCTAGTCCCATCTTTTTTGTGTGTGAAAACATGTTCCAACTTAGAAACGATCTTATAGGAAGATAATTTGGAATGCAGGAGGTTTAAAAGCCCACAAAATAGGTTCAAGAAAAAGTGAACAAAGTAGATAACCATGACATGGGATATGTCTAGAGGTAGTGTTACTGATGATGTATCAATATAGCTGACTGAAGCTTAGGTTTCCCTTCATAATTCAAACCACTGAATCTTAGATTGTTGAGTTGGTTTGTTTGCCTTTTCTTTTAACAAACTTCTGTCTTCTGCTTGCTAGACTCTGTAAAGTGATTTCTGTCAGAAATGAGGAGAGTATTATGAATATGGTTCTTATTTCTGTGATTGTCAGACAAGTACTTTTGGCACTGATCTATTTCATTCTGTAAGGCCATGTTCATTAGTAGGTTCCAGACTGTATTTATCATAATTCATAATGACCACCTGTAAAGACCATTTTTCTATAAGATTGTAGGTAACTGACTTATTGAGTCAGCTTAATTTTTCAAGGCATGTTTTCTTGCTGAGGCATTGGAGATATCAGGAAACCCAATTAAACTGGCTTTAAAGTAATGGGGATATGTGAGCTCACAATACCAACAATCCAGGGAGAGTGGACTTGATCCATTGGCTCATCCAGTGTCCCCAGGGATCTTTCTGTGATCTGTTTCCTGGGATCTTTCTGTAGTCTGTTTCCTAAGTGTCTCCCTCATGGCTGCAAGATAGCTGCTGGCCGGAGGTGCCGTCATTCCAGGCGGACTGCTTGTGGGCGGGAGCTGGTGCCCAGGCGGGTCCTCGTCTGGGCTTCACTCTTGTTTCACCAGCCTGGGTCACGTGTTCTTGTGGGCAGGAGCTGGTGCCCAGGCGGGTCCTCGTCTGGGCTTCACTCTTGTTTCACCAGCCTGGGTCACGTGTTCTTGTGGGCAGGAGCTGGTGCCCAGGCGGGTCCTCGTCTGGGCTTCACTCTTGTTTCACCAGCCTGGGTCACGTGTTCTTGTGGGCAGGAGCTGGTGCCCAGGCGGGTCCTCGTCTGGGCTTCACTCTTGTTTCACCAGCCTGGGTCACGTGTTCTTGTGGGCAGGAGCTGGTGCCTAGGCGGGTCCTCGTCTGGGCTTCACTCCTGTTTCACCAGCCTGGGTCACGTGCCCATCTCTTAGCTAGTTTCTGGAGTTGGGAGGACAGAATTTGAGCTTGAGCCCCCCTCCACCTCCACGGCTAGATCACACTCGGCTCCTTGTGACGCAGACGTCACATCTCCATGTGAGAGAGGGTACCCAGGTAAACTGTGCATTCTTAATGAGAAATGAGTGGGGTGGAATGCTGGTGGGTTAAAAGCAGTGTCACCACAGAAAACATGGATTTTTTTTTTTTTAAATGAGGAAAATAATAAAGCGATCTCTTTGTACCTTTAAAATATAGGTGTCCCTGAAACTTTGTCCATGTAGATACTACTTGTGTGTCCTGAGATACCATAGTTTAACAGTCAGCTCCTTCATGAGTAAAAACCACCTTGATTTGTGGTGATTGCTGATTTCTGTGGTATAAATACTCACTGGTAATTTCAGGCTACCCACATGTCATGACTGAGTGCAGAGTTGGAGAGACAGCGTGTGAGCTCGCCCTGCCGCACTGCTGGGTAGGTGGTGAAGCTTTATGTACCCAGGGCTTTACCTGCACAGACCCATGACGTGTTGATAGAGAGACCATCTGTGTGTGCCTTTCAGATCACTGATACGGTTAGCTGTCCTTCTAAGAGGAATTTTTTTGGTAAAGACATTTATCTTTAGTACCTTTTTGGGCCTAAACCTCCCAACAAGTTTTGATTCTGAATTTGTTTTACTATTTTTTGATTGAAATCTGTAGACATTTAGCTCACTTATATTCCATACAGGCTTTCTGCATTAGATTAATTGGTTTTTAAATGTTGTCAAATGAAAAGTGCTTAACAGCAGGCTTAAATTAAAGGCAGTTATGCTGAAGTAATTCATAATTAATGAAGTTGGGCAAATTGCTCTTTTCTAAGCTTCTCATTTGAGGCTCATAGTCTGGTGTTTTATCACAAGCTCTAAGAGCCAGTGTTCCCATATGGGATGTGTACATTGTCATGAGCTGCTGGAAGCTGAAATGTGAGAATTCTGTAACACTTTTTTTTAATCATCTTTTTTTAAAAAACCTCCTTCTTTCCTTCCAACTGTGCTCGGTCTTCATTGCTGTGTGTGGGTTTTCCCTGGTTGCGGCTAGCAGGGGCTCCTCTAGTTGTGGCGCATGGGCTTCTCGTTGCAGAGCAAGGATTCGAGGGCGCACAGATTCCGTGGGGGTGGTGCATGGGCTTAATTGCCCCAAGGCCTGTGGAATCTTCCCAGACCAGGGATTGAACTTGTGTCCCTTGCACTGGCAGGCAGATTCTCAACTGACGGACAACCAGGAAGTCTGAGAATTCTATAACCGGTTTTGTTTGACTTTTCTTTTCTTACTTTAAGATGGCTTGAGGGACACTAGATACTCTGGAAACTTTTTGAGAGTCTTTTTTCTGTTTTGTGTGCCACCATACCTCAGTGGATATCTTAGTTCAAGAGCTGTAATTTATCGAAGGATTCACATGCTTTTTTTGTTAGTACTAGTTTGGTTTAAGCAATCTGACTCAGACTGATCTCACAGAATTGAAGTTTCTGGCTAATTGAGACTCAGAATGGTCCATCTTTGGCCATGCAGCAAAAATCAAAAGTCTAAACAAAACATTACTGTTCTACCTCAACTTCATTTATAAAATATATCCATGGATATACTTTAAATTGAAGTTTCATGTCTCTGACACTGTTCTCTGATTTTCTTCCTTTGCCAGTTTAAACCAGCTGGTCCATGTGTAAGTTTCAGATAAGCTTTTACTCACATGATTTTAGCATCTTCATCTGAAGTTACCTTTCTTGAGTGAGCTTAAGACACAGTATAGAGTAAAATTAGAAGCTCTGTAGCACTCTAGGACACATTTACTTGCTGTTAGATCATCAGGTTAGCCTCGTGTTTAAACAAAAACACTGCTGCATTTGTGCAAGTCAGCATTCTCTACAGGGAAGTCATCTGTATTTGCTCCTACTTTCTGTTACACCAGTGAATGACAAATCAGTTTTTTTGTGCAGAGTACATTGGGACTTCACTAGCATGTTATGAATAAATACTGTTCCTGTGTCTTGATTCCATTTCTTTCAAGAAGAACTAGTTGCTGAAGGGATGAAAGCTTGTCCTTTTCAGTCTCAGGATGTCTTCTTGCTACCAGGATCTCTGAGAGCACAGCAGTTGGCCTCTTACTTCCCTTTTATTCAGCACTTATTTAGCACCGTCTCTTTGCTAGGAGCCGTGACCTTTAAGCAGAATTCATGTTGAGTATTATGAAGAATTTAGTGTGCCAAATCATTTATAGAATTCTTAGTAACAGAATGGGATAAAAAGCAGTGGAAACTTCTCAGTGGATATTTCAAATTGGATCCCAGTAGCTTCTCTGCAAGGAATATTGAAGATCTAAGAACTGCTACTAATTATGCAAAAATTCCTGTTTAGTAGTTGAAGCTACTGATGAACCACTTAAAAAAAAAAAAGTCCCTGATGTAGGAATGCAGTTTCTTAAATTTATGCAAAGAAGGGATGTCCTCCCACAGACACTGTGGTTTTAAGTATAGTGTTTTAACTTAAAATCAAACTCCTGTTTAGGAGGTTGCTCAGAGAAGTACAGTCTTCAAAACAACCATACCTGAAGAGGAAGAGGAGGAAGAAGAAGTGGCCGAAGCGGCTGTCGAGGAGGAGCTTTCCCACCAGCAGGTACTGTTTCAGTGTCGTTCTTTTTGAATTTTATTAACATAGTTACATGCAGACCGAAAACCAATAGTGGGGCTTGGCTTTTTTTTTTCCCCCTATTACTTGATGAACCAAATCAGTGGTCTGCCAAGTGCGGTTTGTTTTTCCTGAGGGGATATTCAAGATAACAGTATGTTTGAGTACTGGAAGAAGATGTTAGCACTTCTTTTTAAAAAATTATTTCTCATATTGAATTTCAGTTTTGTCTTTTGTTTTATCATGTATGTAACATAGTGGGACATTATGCCACGTAAGTATATATGGATTGGAATGCATGCTCAGAATTATTTATTGAAGGGTTCTTTGAGTTTAGATGACTAAGTTAGAGTAGGTATCTACATATAAACTTTAAAAAAGAGTACTATTCAATTTCAATGTGAAGCAAACCTTCTTGCTGTCTTAAGTTTTTAATCATTTAATTGCAAGCTAGATTTTAGCCGATGCTTAGACTTTTGAAAGCCCTTGAAATAAAGGAACTCCAAATTTGATTTTAATTAATTAAATTGGAATTATTAATAAGTAATAAGCCTTCAGTTTATATTCTCAAGCTGTTCAAGTCTGATCACTAATCAGAATTCCTACCCTTATCCTTATGAGACTTCATCACCACGTCTCTAGATTTATAAATCTGTTCATTTGCCTTAATTAGCCCCAGTCCTGCTCCAGATAAACATCCTCTTATGTATTCAGCCTCCAGAGTTAGGAGTTAGGAGCTCACTCTCTAGAGTGAGAACCACTTGAGGTAGGCCACGGTAGGATGGATTTTTGGCCTGGATACTTCCTCATACATTTTGGAGGAATATTTAACACATTATTGCCCTGGGGGTCTGGAGGTTGTAGAAACTAAGGCATGTAGTATTAGTACATCTCTGGTGAGTAATGCGTTAAGAACAGATATTTTATACTTGGCTTTAACAAGAAACAAACACAAGATCCATATCCTGCCCTTATGGGAAGCATTATAATGACTGGTAGTAGAATAATATAAGAGACTAGGGGTTCAGAGCTTGAGTTACAGCAGGTCAAATGCTGAAGAAGGCTGTTAAGCCACCAGAACAGTTGAGAAGATCTCTGGAAAATAGGTTCTGTCCAGTATTTTGAAGGATAGGCTGAGTATTAAAAGTCAGACAGTGGTGTTCTGGGCTTCCCTGGTGGCTCAGAAGGTAAAGAATCTACCCCAAAATGCAGGAGATCTGGGTTTGATCCCTGGTTCGGGAAGCTCTTCTGGAGAAGGGAATGGGAACCTATTCCAGTATTCTTGCCTGGAGAATTCCATGGACAGAGGAGCCTGATGAGCTAGTCGATGGGGTCAGAAAGAGTCAGACCCGACTGAGTAACTAACACACATACACAGTGGTGTTCTATGGGTGTTTAGATTGTCTGTTGTTGCTACATTAAGAAACCACCTTAAAACTCAGTGGGTTAAAACAGTGATTTCTTATTTCCTATGACTGGGCTTAACTGCACGTTTTTTTGATTTCACACAATGGAGAGTGAAGTCAGTCATGCAGTTACATTCAGCTGGAAGCTTGGCTGGGGCTGGAATGCTCTCCATGTCTCTTTCCATGCGGTTTCTCATCATTTGGTGATTTAACCCAGCCTTCTTTACAACATGGCAGCTGGTTTCCAAGAGAGTAAAAGCAGAGAGCACTAGATTTCTTAAAAGCCCATATTCTCTTAGTCAAAGTAAATCATAGGCCAGCTCCAATTCCGGAGCGGGTGGGGGCAGTAAATCCCGGGTATCTAATAGTAGGAAGAACGGCAGTGAATTTATGAGGACTTTTAATTCATCACAGGGGATATGTCAGGACTTGAGCACCAGCTATAGCTGTCCATCCAGTCAGATTTGTTGTAGGTTGTGTGTGCATGAGAGAGAAATGAAGTGGGAAGGTTGGTGTTAAATTGACATAGTTAGGAATGCCTAAGGAAGTAGCTTATGCATACTTTGGAGCAAAGGAGAATTTGAGACAGTATCAGAGGGATGACTCTAGAAGGGAGACTGCAGACACACTGAGGGACTGTTCAAATAGAGATTCATTAAAGCATAGTGACTGAACTTGAGGGCAAGAAGGAAAAAGAAATGAAAGATGTGCAAGGTTTCTTAGATTCTGTCATCAGAAGAAATAATGATATCGAGGTTCAAAAAAAGGAAGATGGAAGGACAGATCAGCTATTTTGACTTCACATTAGAGAAAGAGTCCAGTGGCCTTTTGAGTTGGTTTGAAGTCTTTTTGTTTGACCTTCAAGAAACCAGTTTCAGTTTAGTCAAGTGGTGAATCATAGTCATGTTGTGAGATTTTAAGGAATTAGTGAGTGAGAAAGAAATGGGTAGATGGAGCCATTTTGACTTCTCATTTGAAGATGAGCCCAGTGCAAATGCTTCAGGATATGAAAGCTGAGGATCCAGCCAGCCATATTCTCTCATGTTCAGAAATCCTGTCCACTGATCTCGTTTACTAAATTACAAAAGGATGTTACTGAACAGTGGTTTTCAGCTTCAGCTGCATATTAAAATTACTTAGGGAACTTTAAAATGACTTATAAATAGATCCTCTTCCCCAGGTAAGTGAGAAATTCTCATTTGATCTAGAGCCCTAGATCAGCTTCTTTTTTAAAAAGCTCCTCAGGCACTGTCCATGCAGCTAGAGTTGAGAGTCAGTGTTCTGGAGTTTGTTGCAGTGTCCTAGGGGGCAGTCCGTAAGAGAAGGTTAGAAAGGGTGAGAAGTAATAAAGGTCCATTTGAAGGTAAGTGATAATGAGTTTGTAGTATCTCTGCCTTATTTTAAAATACTGTGATCCATTGTCTTAGCACTAAGTTTTCTTTCTGTTTTCCTCATCAGGGAGCCCCAAGAGGTTCCAACAGAAGCTGTGCAATTATGTAAACTTCTCAAGTCAGCTGTCTTCCTCAGAATAAAGAAGTATGGTAATCCTTACCTACATGCAGTGCAGAGCCTTCTCAGAAGCACAGAATATTTTTATATTCCTTTATGTGAATTTTTAAGCTGCGAATCTGATGGCCTTAATTTCCTTTTTTGACACTGAAAGTTTTGTAAAAGAAATCATATCCATACACTTTGTTGCAAGATGTGAATTATTGACACTGAACTAACTGTACTGTTTGGAAAGGGTCCCTCAAATTTTTTGACATTTTTTTGTATGTGTATTTTTTTTTTTTTTAAGTTCTTAGGAGGCGGAGGGGGAGGGTAAATAAACCACTGTGTGTCTGGGTTTAATTTGAAGATTGCTCCATCTAGATTAGCAATCTGCTCTTGATTATCCTCTGCTATATATAACGGTGCTGTGAGGGAGGGGAAAGGCATTTTTCAATATATCGAACTTTTGTACTGAATTTTTTTGTAATAAACAATCAAGGCTACAAAAATTTTTTTTAACTAGAAAAGAGAAATTTTGTAAGAAGGCAGTGTAACCTAATCATCATGTAAGCACTCTGGATGAAGGATTCCACAAAACTTTGTTTTATGGTTACTTCTTCTCTTAGATTCTTAATTCGCAAGGGGAATGGGGGAGGGGGAGGAGAGGGACGGGAAGGGTTTCTCCTAAAACGCATTAGTTGTGTTTTTTAAGATAGTGTAACTTGCTTAAATTTCTTACATGACATTAACAATAAAATGCTGTTTTAATATTAATCTGTTGTCTGTTTTAACTTTAAAAACATTTTGAGGGGAGAAAATTATTGTCTCAGTTGTACTTTTGATAAAAATAATTTGGCTCCTTGTTTGAACTAGGTTTTTCTTTAAGGCTCTGACAGTGGGAAGATAAACACACAGACTCTTTTGGGGTCTCCCCTATTTTCAGTACCCTGCTGTCATTAATAATAGCACGTATAATAAAAGCAATAATAATAACTAATTTTTTTGGAGCCCAGATATCATTTATATTTTTTAGCTTATTAACAGTAAGACTTTTTAAAATCTCTTTAAGAAAGCCGTATGGGAACGTAGGGACTATGGGAGAAATTGGGGAAGATATTCCTTTTAAAGGAAAAAGATGGAGATAATATTTCTAGAATCTAGTTTTACTGTCTTAAAATATGGAAGAGATACTCAGCAGCGGACTGGAATACTCCTGGATACTCCACAGGACTGGAAAAGGTCAGTTTTTATTCCAATCCCAAAGAAGGGCAATGCCAAAGAATGTTCAAAATATCACACAATTGCACTCATTTCACATGCTAGTAAGGTAATACTCAAAATCCTCCAACCTAGGCTTCAACGTGAACCAAGAACTTCCAGATGTACAAGCTGGATTTAGCAAAGACAGGGGAACCAGAGATCAAATTGCCAATATCCACTGGATCATAGAAAAAGCTAGAGAATCCCAGAAAAATATCTGCTTCATTGACTACACTAAAGCGTTTGACTCTGTGGATCACAACAAACTGGAAAATTCTGAAAGAGATGGAAATACCAGATCATCTTACCTGCCTCCTGAGAAACCCGTATGCAGGTCAAGAAGCAACAGTTAGAACTGAACGTGGAACAACAGACTGGTTCAAAATTGGGAAAGGAGTGCATCAAGATTGTATATCATCACCCTATTTATTAAACTTATATGCAGAGTACATCATGCAAAATGCCAGGCTGGAGGAATCACAAGCTGAAATCAAGGTTGGCGGGAGAAATATCAATCACCTCAGATACACAGGTGACACACCACCCTTGTTGCAGAAAGCAAACAGGAACTAAAGAGCCTCTTGATGAAGGTGAAAGAGGAGGGTGAAAAGGGTGGCTTAAAACTCAACATTCCAAAAATGAAGATCATGGCATCCAGTCCCATCACTTCATGACAAATAGATGGGGAAACAATGGAAACAGTGAAAGACTTTATTTTCTTGGGCTCCAAAATCACTGTGGATGGTGACTCAGCCATGAAATTTAAAGATGCTTGCTCCTTGGAAGAAGAGCTATGACAAACCTAGACAGCATATTAAAAAGCAGAGACATTACTTTGCCAACAAAGGTCCGTCTAGTCAAAGCTATGATTTTTCCAGTAGTCATGTATGGATGTGAGAGTTGGACCATAAAGGAGACTGAGCGCTGAAGAATTGATGCTTTTGAACTGTGGTGCTGGAGAAGACTCTTGAGAGTCCCTTGGACTGCAAGGAGATCAAATCAGTCAATCCTGAAGGAAATCAACCCCGAATATTTGTTGGAAGGACTGATGCTGAAGCTGAAGCTCCAGTACTTTGGCCACCTGATGTGACGAGCTGACTCATTGGGAAAGACCCTGATGCTGAGAAAGATTTAAGGCAGGAGGAGAAGTGGTTGACAGAGGACGAGACAGTTGGATGGCATCACCAACTGAATGGACATGAGTTGAGCAAGCTTCAGGAGATGGTGAAGGACAGGAAAGCCTGGAGTGCTGCAAAGAGGTCAAAAAGAGTTGGGCACGCTTGAGTGACTGAACAACACTGATTAAAATATGGTATGAATGATAGAAAATACAGGGAGGTGTGTACTCTGTGAGGTAGTTCTATATGGTGATAACTAGGGTGTCATTTGTTATACATTTGGGGGATTTTTATCTTGTGATTGCTTTTGCTCAGTGAGTTCATCTTGTAGAAAGTAGAATATCCAAATTCTCCTTAGACTGAGCTGATGACAACAATTCAGAAGTTAATCCAGAGCCAGTGTTTGCCTTTCTCTTAAAATATTCCTGCAGTAAGCTGTGCAAAGATGAGCAGCTTACACTTGAAAATAACTCACGAAGTCTCAGAATTTCTGTGCTCTGCAGATTTACTGCATACTCTGGTGCCGTCGCAGACACAAGATAAATGCTGGGTTAGAAATCCTGTCTGGTGAAGCAGATAAAATGGTAACTACTCTGCACAGATTTATCTTCGGAATGAGAATGGCAGTGCTGTGTGTGGCCCGACTTGGTTGTGAAAAGTGTTGCCACAAGATGGGGTTCTTGTCATCAGGATCCAATCTAGGTACTTTACTGCTGGATAAATTAGGTTATAGAAATCACTTTAATAGTTAGGCATTAAGAAACTTGGGCAGCTTTAATACAGAGGAATATTATATATGCTCGTGAAATTTAGAGTGAAAATCTAGGACTCAGTTAATACATAGTTGGGTGCCACTGAATATGTGGCAGGAGACTTTGGAGTCTATTTAACCTGGCAGACTTATATCAAAGAGAAGTTTTCTGAACGTGAGCTGCACCTAGGGCTGTTCCCATGGAGTGTCATGGAGACAGAGACTCAGAGGCTGCCTGTATGTGTAGTAGATGCGTCTTGGTATCAGTGGAGGTTAGGGCTGCATTACTGAACTGTTTTATAACGAGTGTGAAATATCCCCCTTTTATCTTGTCTTCAGTGGTCTGGTTTCACTACTAAGTTTAGGTACAGATTTATTTTCCTCTTACCTCAGTGTTTTTGTCCAAGAAAATTCTGGATGCTCATATTTTGTTGAGTATTAGCTCATCCCCTTTTGCTGTTTTTCCCTTTTGGGATTTCTTTCAGACTTACACTGAACCTATCCTTTTTCATGTTTTAGGTTTCTTTAAATAGGAAAGGGAGTATGTCAAGGCTGTATATTGTCACCATGCTTATTTAACTTATATGCAGAGTACATTATGAGAAACTCTGGGCTGGAAGAAGCACAGGCCAGAATCAAGATTGCCGAGAGAAATATCAATAATCTCAGATATGCAGATGACACCACCCTTATGGCAGAAAGTGAAGAGGAACTAAAAAGCCTCTTGATGAAAGTGAAAGAGGAGAGTGAAAAAGTTGGCTTAAAGCTCAACATTCAGAAAACGAAGATCATGGCATCTGGTCCCATCACCTCATGGGAAATTGATGGGGAAACAGTGTCAGACTTTATTTTTTTGGGCTCCAAAATCACTGCAGATGGTGATTGTAGCCATGAAATTAAAAGACGTTTACTCCTTGGAAGGAATGTTATGACCAACCTAAATAGCATATTGAAAAGCAGAGACATTACTTTGCCAACAAAGGTCCGTCTAGTCAAGGCTATGATTTTTCCACTGGTCATGTATAGATGTGAGAGTTGGACTATGAAGAAAGCTGAGCACCGAAAAATTGATGCTTTTGAACTGTGGTGTTGGAAAAGACTCTTGAGAGTCCCTTGGAATGCAAAGAGATCAGCCCTGGGTGTTCACTGGAAGGACTAATGCTGAAGCTGAAACTCCAGTACTTTGGCCACCTCACGCGAAGAGTTGACTCATTGGAAAAGGTCCTGATGCTGGGAGGGATTGGGGGCAGGAGGAGAAGGGGACGACAGAAGATGAGATGGCTGGATGGCATCACCAACTCGATGGGCATGAGTTTGAGTAAACTCTGGGAGTTGGTGATGGATAGGGAGGCCTGGCGTGCTGTGATTCATGGGGTTGCAAAGAGTTGGACACAGCTGAGCAACTGAACTGACGCTGTATTCTCAGTAACTTAGTATTTACCTCACTAATTATGTTCACAGCCTTGTCTAATCTGTTTATCCCACTTGTAGTTTCTAGTTTCCTTAACTATACTTTTCATTTCTGAAACTGTTTGATATTTTTTCATATTTGTCTGTTCCTTATTCAATTTTTTAAAAAACTGTAGTTCTGTTCCTTTGAAAAGTTCATTTTATTTTTTTTATTTTTTATTTTTTTGAAAAGTTCATTTTAATCACACTTATTTTATAGTCTCTATATTCTTGAGTTCTTGGCAGTGCTCATTTTTTTTTCTCAGCTACCGAAAAATGAATGGTGACTTGTTTCCTCGTGGGGTTTTTAGGATTACGAACTTATCTTCAGCAAGGGCTCCTGATTTGGTGAGTGGGTCCCTATCCCAGCGTTTTGCTACAGAATCATTTGGAAGTTCCCCGTGTGTCTCTTTGGTGATGAGATGGTATAG